CCAAATGGTAGAGTTAGAAACATACCAGGGGATTCCAATTCAATCCCATCAAGGTGGCATGTACCAATGCCATCTCACTAGTCCAAGTGAGCAACTTCAGTTCACAATTGATCATAATGATAGGACTAAGAGTCAAAGGGATCACATAAACAAGACTAGTGTCTGAAAATACTAACTGATAGAATAAAAACAGGGAGAGAACGATCCAACATGGCAAGTGGGATACACAGCAGACTCATACAATGGCGGATGTCCTAACAGCACTCTGGCCTCAGAATCAGCCCCTAAGGCATGCGGATCCGGCTGAAAAGCCCATGAGAATATTTCAGGCATGGAAAGCCAAGACATTCTGGCAAAAAAAAAAAAAAAAAAAAAAAAAAAAAAAAAAAAAAAAAAAAAAAAAAAAAAAAAAAAAAAAACAAAACCTAAAAGATCTCTGCGAGTGAGATCCCAGTGGAAAGAACAGGCCATCAAAGAAAGAGGTACCTTTCTCTGAAGGGAGGAGAGAACTTCCACTTTGACTATGGCCTTGTCTAAATATGTCAGAGTCGGTGAACTCAAAAGGCTTCCATAGCCTTGGCAACTCATGACAAGAGCCTAGGGTGATTACTGACGCCATAAACAAGAGTGTCAATTTGTTAAGTCAACAACAGGAGTCACTGTGCACTTACTCCTCATGTAGGATCTCTGTCCTTAATGTTCTGTACATTGTGATTTAATGCTATAACTAGTACTCAAACAGTATTTTTCACTTTGTGTTTCTGTATGGGAGCAAACTGTTGAAATCTTTACTTAATATATACTAAATTGATCTTCTGTATATAAAGAGAATTGAAAATGAATCTTGATGTGAATGGAAGGGGAGAGGGAGCAGGAGAGGGGAGGGTTGTGGGTGGGAGGGAAATTATGGGGGAGAAGCTATAAAAAAATAAAAAAAATTAAAAAACGCATTTGACAAAATCTGACACCCTTTTATGATCAAAAAATAAACTAGAAGGAGAAGGAAACTATCTCAAAATAATAGGCCAGATACATGTAAAATCCCCAGCAAAGATCCTGCTCAAGGATGAAATACTGACAGCTTTTCTTCTAAATTCAAGAAGGCAAGACGCCTTCCTTTGCCACTTACACTCAACATATAACTGAAGTTAATGCCAGAGTAATCAGAAAAAGAAAAGGTTTCTAAGTTGGAAAGGAAGAACTAATTACCTCTGTTCACAGATGATTATCATTTTACATATAGGAAGTCTCAAAGATTCCACACACACACACACACCAAAAAAAAACCAGAACAGAAGCATTAGTACAGTCAACACACTAAGAATCTGAAACAGAAATTACAAAAAAAAGTCCCACAAGGCGAGGCAGCTGAAAGAATGGCAGATAACGGTTGTCAGCATAGCAGTGAGTTGATCCCTAGGAAGAAGCTGCCCTAGCCCCAGTGACGGAGCTCAGCAGAGGGAACAGACACACAGAGGAAGGGCCAGTGCTGTGGCACGCCAGGTGAAGCTGCCACCTGCAATGCAGACATCCCACCTGCAATGCAGACATCCCATACTTTAGTGCTGGATTAAGTCCTCATTCCTCCCCTTCAAATCTACCTTCAGCTAATGTACATCCAAGGGGGCAGCAGAAGATGGACAGCTGTTTGGGCCCCGTCCACCCATATGAGAGACCTAGATGGAGTCAATGGCTACTGGCCCAGCCCTGGCTGTTGAGATCACTTAGGGAATAATTCAGTGGATGGAAGATCTCTGTCTCTCCTTCTCTTTCTGATGCTCTGCCTTGCAAATAAATGAACAAATCTTAAAAAAAAAAAAGAAAGAAAGAAAGAAAGAAAAAATCAAAAGAAATGGTCCTGGGAAAACTATCCAAATTCAAAATAATCAAGTTGGGTCACTACCTAATACCATATACAAAAAGTAATTCAAACTGGATCAAAGGTTTGAATATTAGACCTTAAACAACCTAATTTAGAATAAAACACTGGGGGCTGGCGCTGTAGCATAGCAGGTAAAGCCACCACCTGCAGTGCCGGAATCCCATATGGGTACTAGTTCGAGACCCAGCTGCTCCACTTCTGATCCAGCTCTCTGCTATGGCCTGGGAAAACAGTAGAAGATGGCCCAAGTCTTTGGGCCCCTGCACCTGCATGGGAGACCTGGAAGAAGCTCCTGGTCCCAGGCTTTGGATCAACACAGCTCTCGCCGTTGGTGGCCAATTGGGGAGTGAACCAGCAGATGGAAGACCTCTCTCTCTGCCTCTCCTTCTCTCTGTGTATCTGACTTTCAAATAAATAAATAAAACCTTAAAAAAAAAAAAAAAAAGACACTATCAGTAGTGTAAAAAGGCAACATGTTGAATGGTGTCGCTCCCCCTCTTCGTGGAGGAACGACACAGGACCCTGCGCTGTTCTTCTGTCTGCTCGGCCCTCCCCGGGTTTGCTGCTGGTTCTTCCCGGGTTGGCTACCGACCCTCCACCTCTGTGGAGGGGCGGTTCCCCCTGCCACATTCCCCACTTCCGCAGGGGAGCGGCACACCGCCGGCCGGCTCTCTCGGGGGCTGCACAGGTGTTCCCCTTAGATGTTCCTCGTAGATGTTCCTCGTGCATGCCGTCTCTCTCCTCCTTTATAGTCCTCCTCTGCCAATCCCAACTCGGCTGCCCACACGCCGAGTACGCTGCTCTCCTCCAATCAGGAGCAAGTCCTACAGTTTATTGGCTGAACTGGAGGCAGCTGTGTAGAAGCTGTTTTCTTCTCTCCCAGCGCCATATTGTGGGAGAGCAGATGCATAGAATAAGTCTTAATTCCAGTAACTTAGTCTAGTCCGAGTTGCTCCCCACAAATGGGAGAAAATATTTGCAAATAATGCATCTGTTAAGACATTACTATTCAGATTATGCACAGATCTCCTAAAACTCCACAACAAAAAAATGAAAACCCAATTCAAAAAACAGGCAAACAACATTGCCCTGAAGATTTATAAACAGCCAAAAAGCAATGAAAATTAAATGTTTATCACTGGGGCCGGCGCCGTGGCTCACTTGGCTAATCCTCCGCCTGTGGCGCCAGACTCCCATATGGGCGCTGGGTTCTAGTCCCGGCTGCTCCTCTTCCAGTCCAGCTCTGTGCTGTGGCCCGGGAGGGCAGTGGAGGATGGCCCAAGTGCTTGGGCCCTGCACCCGCATGGGAGACCAGGAGGAAGCACCTGGCTCCTGGCTTCGGATAGGCGTAGCTCTGGCCTTAGTGGCCATTTGTGGGGCGAACCAACGGAAGGAAGACCTTTCTCTCTGTCTCTCCCTCTCACTGTCTGTAACTCTACCTGTCGAATAAATAAATAATCTTTAAAAAAAAAATGTTTATCACTAAACATTAGGATAATGAAAGTCAAAATCACAAAAATGTACCATTTCACATTCTTTAGAATGGCTATATTTTAAAAAACTAAAAAATAAAATGAAAATGAAAAAGTATTAGTGATATGTGCAGAAACTGGAACACTTGACCCCTGTAGACAGTAGAGGCTGTGGAAAACAGTATGGCAGCTCCCCCAAAAGCTAAACAGAATTTAACACGATGCAACAACTCCACTTCTGGGCATATCCCCCAGAGGATTGAAAGCACAGTATCTGAAAGGTGTTTGTACACCCATGTTCACAGTAGGATTAATCACTATGGCTAACATGTGGATGCACCCCAAATGTCCATCTGATGGATGAACAGTCAGGCAATATGTGGTATGTAGCCAAACAATGACACATCTCTCAGGCTTAGGAAAATGACACATAAAACATGAATCTTATCACATTATGCTAAGTAAGCCAGTCACAAAAAAGCAAGTATTTTATGATTTCTCATATGTGAAGCACAGAGACAGGAAGCAGAATGGTGCTTGCCAGGCACAGGGCAACCAGCAGGGACTGGAGAGTGACTGTTTCCTGGGAACACAGTTTCCGTTTTCTAAGGAAGGTAAAAAGAAATCTGGACATGAATGGTGGTGATAGATGTCTAACACAGTGATACTATTTCACACTCTCTGAACTGGGCACCTAAACTGGTTATGATGACAAAAATATGTCTTGAAAATACATCCACTTGAGGGCCCAGAGTCACGGCGCACTAGGTTAATCCTCCGCCTGTGGCACCGGCATCCCATATGGGCATCCCATATGGGCCCTGCACCCGCATGGGAGACTAGGAGGAGGCACTTGGCTCCTGGCTTTGGATCGGCGTAGCTCTGGCCGTAGCGGCCATTTGGGGAGTGAACCAAGGGAAAGAAGACCTTTCTCTCTCACTATCTGTAACTCTGTCAAATAAATAAATAAAAATCTTAAAAAAAGAAAATACATCACCTTGAAAGGTTCATTTGTTTCATTTTACTTTAAATTTTTTTTTTTTTTTTGGACAGGCAGAGTGGACAGTGAGAGAGACAGAAAAAAAGGCCTTCCTTTGCCGTTGGCTCACCCTCCAATGGCCGCCGCGGCTGGCGCACCATGCTGATCCGATGGCAGGAGCCAGGTACTTATCCTGGTCTCCCATGGGGTGCAGGGCCCAAGCACTTGGGCCATCCTCCACTGCACTCCCGGGCCACAGCAGAGAGCTGGACTGGAAGAGGGGCAACGGGGACAGAATCCAGCGCCCCGACCGGGACTAGAACCCGGTGTGCCGGCGCCGCAAGGTGGAGGATTAGCCTAGTGAGCCGCGGCGCCGGCCAATTTTTACTTTAAATTTTTAGAGATTGGTTTCCATTTTCATTTAATTTTATTTTGATAACAGGTAAGATATTTACATAGTTCCAAAGATTATTAAAACAGGTATATTCATAGAATTTTAACTGCTCCATCTTATTGCAACCACCCTACTATAAACAGTGATTTTGGTTTTGGTTTGTGCTTCCTGTTTTCAGAAGCTAATATACATTCATAGATACGCCTCATCTGAGATAAAAGGTAGCAACCACCCATGTAGTAAAGAAAAATCATTTTTAAAAGGTATACATACTTCAATATATAAGCTTTTTGGAGGCTTCATATCCTGTGTAATGTCCAAACCTTCATCTCCTCCCAGTGTCCTCATGTAAGTAGCAAGGGATTTTTTATAATGACTGAACCACTCCATCTGCAAATGAAAAGACGATATTGGTCAGTTATATGAGAATGTGTACAAACTGCACGTTCATCCTTTCAAAACCAGCCCATATCAATATGGATCATATCTGTGAACACTCATTCGAACATTACTGACTGCTATGATCCAAGCACAGATCCGAGCACTCAGAAATCACTTAACAAAAATGAACAAAAACCTGTGCTCTCACTAGAATTTACAGCCCTGCCTACTAATCATAAACCTAAGGAGCATTCAACCAGAAACAGACCAGGAAAATAACACCAGTCCACAAGTATAAAATGTTAACTCTAGACTAACAGAACATAAGAGAAAGTCTCCCAATTCTAACTGTACAGATACATGGACACTCCATGCATGACATGGGTAGTACTCTGGACAGAGCAGTGGTCATTTAAAAACTATTTATTTTATAGTAACAAAAGGTAAAATACAGCATTTTATATGGCTAAATGTGATAAAAAGAAATCTTTGCTTGGCCAGTGCCGTGGCTCACTTGGCTAATCCTCCACCTGCAGCAACGGCACCCCCGGTTCTAGTCCCGGTTGCTCTTCTTCCAGTTCAGCTCTCTGCTGTGGCCAGGGAAGGCAGTGGAAGATGGCCAAAGTGCTTGGGCCTTGCACCCGCATGGGAGACCAGAAGGAGGCACCTGGCTCCTGGTTTGATCAGCACAGCGTGCTGGCCGTAGTGGCCATTTAGGGGGTGAACCAATGGAAGGAAGACCTTTCTCTCTGTCTCCCTCTCTCTAACTCTGCCTGTCAAAAACAAAAAACAAAAAAACAAAAACCTTGCTTAGAAAAGTGTTTCCAAATGAGTCAAGACATGGATCTTTCTACCACAGTCTTTCTACAGGGTCCCCACTCAGAACAACAGCATTTAACAGACTCCCAAGAGAACATAGCATGGAAGGAAAACTAAAGGGTATCGTGGCAATGAAGGCATTGTCCTCATTCAGTCTCATCCAAAAAGGAAAGGCTATGCATGATATACACGTTATACAAAATTTACACCGACAATTGCAAAATACTTAGCTATGGAAAAATATTAATAGGAAAGGAAAAGACACCTATTTTCATGATCTTGTGTATCAGTGGCTTAAGGATTCTGTAACTTAAACAGAAACGTAATAAAATATAGGGCTAAAGAAAATCTAAAAAGATTACTCTGAAATTACATGCCTATTTTTTAAAATTTCAGTCAGACAGAGACAGAGAGAAATACAAGACAGACACAGAGGGCTGCCATCTGCTGCTTCACGCCCCTAAGGCCTGCAATGGCCAGGAAGGGTCAAGCTCAAGCCAGAGCTAGGAATTGAATCCAGGTCTCCTATGTGGATGGCAGGGATCCAAACACCTAAGCCATCATCCATTGCCTCCCCAGGGTGCTCAGTGGCAGGAATCCAGATTCAAAGGCAGAACTGGGTCTCAGACCCAGGCACTCTGAGATGTGGACATCCTAACTGGTGTCTTAACCTCTAGGCCAAATGCTTGCCCTGAGAAAATTTTTATGTATTATTTGTATACTCACTCCTATATCTTTCAATGGTGATTTCTCTGAACATTATTAAAGCACTATCATCCGTTTCACTTTAGTCCCTTTTTTTTTTTTTGAAGATTTATTTATGTATTTGAAAGGCAGAGTTATACAGAGGCAGAGAGAGAGAGACAAAGAGAGAGAGAGAGATCTTCCATCCTCTGCTTCACTCCTCAGATGGCCACAACGGCTGGAGCTATGCCAACCCGAAGCCAGAAGCCAGGAGCCAGGAGCCTCTACAAGGTCTCCCTGGTGGGTACAGGGCCCCAAGGACTTGGCTCATCTTCTACTGCTTTCCCAGGCTATAGCAGGGAGCTGGATCTGAAGTGGAGCAGCCAGGACTCAAACCGGCGGCTGTATGAGATGCCAGCACTGCAGGCGGAGGCTTAGCATACTATGCCACAGCGCCGGCCCCCTAGTCACTTATTTTCACTCTGCTTTTTACTTTTATTACCACATTAAGCCAACACAACGGAGATCAACATCCCCACTACGATTTGTAAAGCATTACTGTGTACTAGGAATTTGCTGTGCCTTTAATACTATTTTATTATTCTTTCTACCGTGGTTAAGATGTCATCTAACTCACTCAGGTGCTGAAGACATGGTCCTCAGTGTGGTGGTGTTGAAGTGGTATAACCTTTGAGAGGGGGTACTTAGTGCAAGGGCGGTCAGGGGTAGGAGATGTGGGTGGAAAACGAACCTCAGAAGGGATTCATGCTGGTCTCACAGAACAACGTAGTTCTTGTGAGAGTGCACTGTTCTAAAAGAGCCTCCCTGCTCAATCTCTCTAGCTTCGTCCCTAGCCACATGGTCTCTTCCATGTGCACTCCTGCCACTGTGATGCCATCCACCATGACACCCACACCACAGCCGAGCAGATGCTGGCGCCTTCCTCTTGAACCTCCAGACCTGCCAGCAAAAGAACCCTCTTCTCTCTATATATTACCTAGTCTCAGGAACTCACTTTCTGCTATAGCAATAGTAAGGGGACTAATACTCCCATGATGTAGGTACTGTTATTGACAAAGGGCTCAGAATTAACAAATTGCTCTAAGCCTAGGTGGCTGACTCAAGCCTATGGCTTTACACGAAGACACAAGTGATGGTCTCCTGTAAGTTGATGGAAACACCCAGAAGTACTCCTTGTTACTGGTCTAACATGGCTGATGCAGCTGTTAGCAGCTGTTAGCCTGGTACAGAGAGTTACCTGAATAAATTTCTTGTTTTCAAGCTTGAGTTTTTTCCAAAATGCCATGGACGAAAGTAAGGGGCCAAGCATAATCATGTCCATAAAGGAGGACACTAGGACAGAAGGAAGTCTGCCAGTTCAACAGTAATTTACACTCTTGTAAGGAAGGAGCTGCGATTTCATTACTTTTAAACAACTTAACCCCTAGAACCATCAACATTCCTTTACATGCTGCTGATAAGGTTCTATTTTACCTAAATAGGAACTGAATTTGCATCAAGAAGAGTGCTATCTGAAAAGAAATAACGCCTAACATGAAATTTCACAGATGTGCTTGAATCTGCATTTACAAAATTATAAGACACATAGTAATTTAAAATGTTGTATGAGAAAAATCACTGTAAGTTATTACATTACAAAATCAACATAAAGGACCTGCGCTGAGGCGCAATGGGTTGAAGCCCTGGCCTGAAGCGCCAGAATCCCATATGGGCACCGGTTCTAGCCCCGGCTGCTCCTCTTCCGATCCAGCTCATGGCTATGGCCTGGAAAAGTAGTAGTGCACCCACGTGGGAGACACAGAAGAAGCTCCTGGCTCCTGGCTTTGGATCAGCTCAGCTCCAGCCATTGCAGCCACCTGAGGAGTGAATGAGTGGATGGAAGACCTCTCTCTACCTCTCTGTAACTCTTTCAAATAAATAAAATAAAACTTTAAAAAAATAAACAAAAGCAACATAAACTTCTGTTCATTTTACTAAAATATACAAGAAGTATTCTATAGTTCAACTAATGTAAGTAAATTCAGGCACAAACACTACAGAAATAAGAAACTAAAAACTCAAGTCCTAACATGTTACCAATTATAGTTACTGGTAAATATGATGTAGAGATTACTCATTTGTCTATCTAGAAAAATGAACAGAATGAAAACAATGAGAGTTAATTAGCAGGCGCGTTTTGGCAGCAGTTAAATCACTGCTTCCAGTGCCCTCATATCAGGGTAACTAATTTGAGTCCTGGCTCCTCCACTTCTTATCCAGCTTCCTGCTACTGCCTATCCTTAAAGGCAGCAGGCGAGGGCTCAAGTTCTTGGGCTCAAGCACATGGGACACCCTGATTGAGTTCTAAGCTCCTGGCTCTGACCTGGCCTAACCCTAGATGTTGCAGGCATTTTGAAAATAGACCAGCACATAAAGATGTCTTTCAAATAAAATGAAAATAACAATTAAAAATAAATTTTAAAAAGTTAGCAAATAGAATGCTATTTTCAAAAACAAGCAGAAGCTAACAACAAACACATAGAACATTTGCTTTCTTAAGCTATGTGCTAGGATCCTCTAACAAAGTGACAAGCAACACTGAAGGCCATCCTGGGCCATGTTCCCTGTGGATCACCTCAAGCAACCTGTGATAAGCCTTTTAGTACCTGGCTGCATGATAAAGAATCTGACTGGCCTTTGCCCCTATTCCTAGGAAACAAGCTCTCTAACTCCTTGGGCTTTCTCAAATGAGAGAAGTTATCTTGTTACTTATTTTGGGTTCTGATAGCGTGAGCCAATGGGGTGACTCACAGTAGACCCCTAGTTTCTTGCTAACAAGATGACTCAGAGTGGGAGCTGGCTACCCCAGAAAGACCAATCCTAATTAGGGAACTGGCACTTTGGATCTCTTGCTCTGAGCCTGACCTGCAGGGAGTTGGAGAGGGATGCGGCTGAGCTTGTCACAGGGCCAGCGATCTGTTCACCTGTGCCTTTCCAGTGAGTCCCAGCAAGCCCTCTGGACACCAAAGTCTCTATGTGATTCCCTGGTTGGCAATACTCCACATGGATCGTCAAATGCAGGTGTTCCAGGAAGGAGACATGTCCTGACTCCACAGATACCAGAAGCTTAGGAGTCTCTTATTTTGCCCAGATTTAGTTGTATTTTTATTGCTACAGTATAACTTTAAGTATAGTGCTTTCCTGAGTTCTGGGAGTCATTCTAGAGAATTACTGAATCCATGGGTAGAATATGCCTGGTGTCTGAAGCAAGGCACGGTCTTATGGAAGACTGTACTCAACCAGGGCAGAGTGGTCTCATTCCAAGTGGTGCCAGAAGTATCTGGAACCCCTATGATCCTCTTCTGTAAATGAGGGAATGTAGGCATGAAGAGACTCCAACCCTCTGTCCCTAAATATTGGACTAACTCTGCCTCAGTGCCTGGACAAGAGTTTCATTACAAATGTGAATTTGTAGTGTCGATCACACACACACCACATACACATCAGTATATACAAAGATACTTTATAGAAAATCCCCAAATAAACTTTTTAATCCCACTGATAGGACACCAATAAGCAACAAGATGAGATTTTCCACATAGCATTTCAGATTTCTCCTCACTGTGTATTTCCCATCACAGTATATACTAAATAAATACTGTCAAAAACTGATGACAGAGGCCGGCGCCGTGGCTCACTTGGTTAATCCTCTGCCTGCGGCGCCGGCATCCCATATGGGTGCTGGGTTCTAGTCCCGGCTGCTCCTCTTCCAGTCCAGCTCTCTGCTGTGGCCCGGGAAGGCAGTGGAGGATGGCCCAAGTGCTTGGGCTCCTGCACCCACGTGGGAGACCAGGAAGAAACACCTGGCTCCTGGCTTCGGATCGGCGCAGCATGCCAGCTGTGGTGGCCATTTGAGGGGTGAACCAAGGGAAGGAAGACCTTTCTCTCTGTCTCTCTCTCTCACTGTCTAACTCTATCTGTCAAAAAAAAAAAAAAAAAAAAAAAAAAAAAAAAAAAAAGGTGAAAACATATTTAAAACAAAGAGAAACACAAATATTATTCCAGAACAGCACCACAATGCTAACTTACTTCTTCAGAAGACATGTGAAACCGTAGAGCAGTTGGCAAGACACTGCCATACTCCCACCTGAGCGCTCTGATCCGAAGCAACCGGTCATACCTAGGACGTTGAGAAGGTGTCAGACGGGGTGAGGATAAAGGGCAATAAAAAGCTGTTCTGATGTCTGACTCAAGACCCACAACCATGTAAACCTGCTCCTAATGCAAACAAACCTCGTGATAGAAGGCAAGAAGGCGTATTTGGGATAAGGCAGGGCTCAACAGCTGCCATAAAGGCAATGAAGCCATTGTTGATTTCTTCAGGAGTGACCACATACAGCAGTCACAAGAGTTAAGATCCCAAAGGCCCTTATTTCTTAGGAAAATACTAAATACACTAAAGGATTTGGTGGTGAAGTGGCATGATGCTCTAAAATTATACAGCAAACACCAAACACGATGAAGCAAATACAGCAAAACATTAAAAACTGTTAAACCTGTTTTAATGGGGACAGGATGACTCCATGGGGGTGTTCCTTACTTTTATGAATGAGGCCATTTTCATAACAAAATAAATTTTTCATGGCAAATAGAAGAATTTAAAATGCTTAAAAGAACAGATGCATACTTCCTGTAATCCATTCAAAAAGGTAAACTAAGAACCCACACAGAAAACCCTCCAGCATTCCCTACCATCCCAAGCAAAACCTGCGACACTCACAGGTATGCTAATGTGCAACGTCGATTTCTTAACAAACAGCAGTGTCGGAATTTGATGGTTGGTATCAAATCACTTCGTCCACCTGACTTTGCTTCAGTCCTATTAAGGGAATTTATTTAAAGAGGAAAAAAAACAAACACATTTCAATATAAATAAAAATTTCAAAGCCAACTTACATACTTGCTTTTATCCATTTATAAATAGTAGCTAACATAAGCAAAGAGTAAATACTTCCACATCAAATTTTATTAATGCTAAAAGAAAAAAAGCCAAAAGCTAAATAGTTTGCCTACAATCATACTATCAAGTACATTTCTTTGATTTTGTTTTGTTTTAAGATTTATTTATTTGAAAGGCAGAGCAACAGAAATAAAGATGGAGAAGAGACAGTGAGAAAGAGATACAGGCAGATAGGTAAGATTGATCTTCCACATGCTGGTTAACTCCCCAAATGGCTACAAAACAAAAGCAAGGTCAAGACCAGACCAAAGCCAGGAGCCAGGAACTCTATCCTGGTCTCTGATGTGTATGGCAGGGGCCCAAATACTTGGGCCATCTTCTGCTGCTTTCCCAAGTACATCAACATGGAGTTGGATCACAAAGCAGAGTAGGCAGGATTTGAAGGTTCTCCAACATGGGATGCCAAGTGTGGAAGGTGGCAACTTAACCTGCCGTGCCACAAAGCCAGCCCCCATCAAGTATGTTTCACTTAATCATTTGGTACTTAACAATTTTGCACATTAATTAATCTCTATTTTTCTAAAGACAGTATGTTTTTATCCACTTTTTGGAATTCCTCTCTCATGGTGACATAAGATATAAACCTAACATTAAGCTTCATAAAAGGATGGCCTTATGTCATGTTTTCATTCTATTATTTCACTTTCAGTGGGACTTGCAAATCCTTATTATAATAAGGTGTTAATTCACCTAACAATCATTCATCTAACAAATATTTATTGATCTCCAACTGCCAGATCTGTTCTACAAACTCCTGCCACCCTATGAAAGTAAGATTTATTTCCTACCTTGTGTACAATATGTTCTGGATTAGAAGGGAATACTACAAAGGAACACCCAACTATGGGGCAGGCATTTGGCTTAGCAGTTAAGTTATGACTTGGAAGGCCCACATCCCACATTGGATTGCCTGGCTGGAGTCCCAGACCCTCTGATTTAAATCCAGCTTCTTGCGGATGCACATCCTGGGAGGCATCAAATGATGGTTCATATATTTGGGTCCCTGACACCCATGTGGGAGACCTGGGATTAAGTTCAGGCTCCTGGCTTCAACCTAGCCCAGCCTGGCTATTCCGGGTATTTGGAGGGAATCAGTGGACAGAAGATTGTTTTGTCTGTCTCTATCTGCCTTTCAAATAAAATGAAAATAAATTAATTTTTTAAAATGTTTAAAAATACACCCAATATAACACCAGGATGATTTATTAAGAACAAATGGAATTCTTAAAAATATTCACACTTACACAAATTAAAAAAAATTATTTATTTTCACAAATAATTTTAACCAGAAACTGGGAACAATGATTGCCTCTCCAGAGAGAAAACAAGAGTGTAGGGCACAGAATTTTCAATCATGAAATTATAAATAGTAAATATATATATACAGGAAACACAAGAAAATCATTCCCTTTGGACCAAGAGATGTTAGGCTACCCCCAAAATACATCTTTGACAGTTTAAAAATCTTTATTTTATTTACTTGAGGTAGAAAGAGAGACAGAAACAGTGAGGCAGGGAGCTTCCATGCGCTGGTTCACTGCCCAAATGCCTGCAACAGACTGAGCCCTGGAAATCAACCCAAGTTGTCCACATGGAAAACTTGCATCATCACCTCCTGCTTCCCAGGGTGCATGCTAGTAGAAAGCTGGAGTTGGGACTGCAGAAAAGACTGAACCCCAGGCACTCCAATATGGGATGTGGGCATCTCAAGTGGCATCTTCACAGCAAATGCCTGTACCAGTTAACATGATCATGTTTCACCTAGTCCAGGTCACTTCTCTGGTCATCCGGATGACTAATGTGCCTCCCTCTCCTCTCACCTCCTCTACTCTGCTTCAACCTGCTGGTTCACTCCCCTAATCCTGCGACACATGGAGCTGGGTAGTCTAAAGCCAGAAGCCTAGAACTTCATCTGATTCTACCGTGCCCATAGACCCAAGTATTTGAGCTGTCACCTGCTGACTCCCAGGTGACGGGAAGAATTAGCTGACCAAACAGTAACCAGGGTAATCTTCTAAGACACAAACATGGGGCCGGTGCCGTGGCTCACTTGGCTAATCCTCCGCCTGCGGTACCGGCATCCCATATAGGCGCTGGGTTCTAGTCCCAGTTGCTCCTCTTCCAGTCTAGCTCTCTGCTGTGGCCCGGGAGGGCAGTGAAGGATGGCCCAAATGCTTGGGCTCCTGCACCCGCATGGGAGATTGGGAAGAAGCACCTGGCTCCTGGCTTCGGGCTGGCGCAACACTGGCCCTAGTGGCCATTTGGGTGTCGCTCCCCCTCTTCGTGGAGGAGCAACACAGGACCCTGCGCTGTTCTTTCGTCTGCTCGGCCCTCCCCGGGTTTTCTGCTGGTTCTTCCCGGGTTGGCTACTATCCCTTCCACCTCCGTGGAAGGGCAGTTCCCCCTGGCCGCATTCCCCACTTCCGCAGGGGAGCGGCACACCGCCGGCTTTCTCGGGGGCTGCACGGGTTCCCTTAGATGTTCCCCATAGATGTTCCTGGTGCATGCCGTCTCTCTCCTCCTTTATAGTCCTCCTCCGCCAATCCCAACTCGGCTGCCCACACGCCGAGTACGCTGCTCTCCAATCAGGAGCAAGTCCTACAGTTAATTGGTTGAACTGGAGGCAGCTGTGCGGAAGCTGTTTACTTCTCTCCCAGCGCCATATTGTGGGAGAGCAGATGCATAGAATAAGTCCCAATTCGAGCAACTCAGTCCAGTCCGGATTGCTCCCCACATTTGGGGAGTGAACAAACGGAAGGAAGACCTTTCTTTCTGTCTCTCTCACTATCTGTAACCCTACCTGTCAAAATTTAAAAAAAAAAAAAAAGACAAACATGCCAACACCCACCCCACCCTGGGGTCATCCTTAGCCACCTGCTAAGCTCCATCACACTGGCCTCCTTTAAGTGTCGGCTTCCTGAGCACCCTGCTCCTTTCCTTAGGGCCTTTGCAAACACCATTCCCTCTGTCTAGAATGTTCTCCTCCCACAAAGCCTCAGCTGAAACATCTCTTCCTTGAGAGAATACCCCTGACTCTTCAATCAAAAGTACATCTTCAATTTATTATTCTCTCTCCTAGCATTCTGTTAGCTTCCTTCAAAACATGCTTCCCAATCCACTGTGTCTGCAGTTAAAATCTGTCTCCTACACTAGCCTGTGAAAGTCCATGAACCGGATTCTAGATGGTGTTGTTCAACATGTGTGACATTATGACACACATATTTTGGGTTTTGTCCACAGTTCCCAAGGCAGTCCACTAAAATTAGAAGGTCTCTTCCCCAGAAGAATCACAGAAATGCTCATCCCCCTCCACCTTTGTGTCTTAGAGCTAACCATGAAGAAATTCTCTGGCCTGTTTGTCTGATAACAGATCATTAAGATCCCAATTTCAGAAGCAGTCCTGACCCATACCCCTCCTGGGCTTTCCTGGTCAATTAGCATTAGATCAGACCTTTTTGTCCAAACACATTTCTACATGGATTTCCACGCCTCAGTCATGCCAAAAATCTCCATGAAAGTCCAAAAGGGTAGAATTCAGAAAGCTTCCAGAGACTTGAACACATGCTGGCTCTTGGAAGGTGGCAACCAGATAGGGCATAGGAGCTCCACACTCCTTTCCTCCTACCCCACCCTGTTCATCTCTTCCTCCATACCCTCCATAATATCCCTTTTTTTTTTTCAATTTTTTTATTTGACAGATAGTGTTAGACAGTGAGAGAGACAGAGAGAAAGGTCTTCCTTCCGTTGGTTCACTCTCCAAATGGCTGCTACGGCCAGCGCGCTGCGCTGATCCGAAGCCAGGAGCCAGGTGCTTCCTCCTGGTCTCTCATACAGGTGCAGGTGCCCAAGCACTTGGGCCATCCTCCACTGCCTTCCTGGGCCACAGCAGAGAGCTGGACTAGAAGCAGCCAGGACTAGAACCCAGTGCCCAAATGGGATGCCGGCGCCACAGGCAGAGGATTAGCCAAGTGAGCCATGGCGCCAGCCCCCATAATATCCTTTATAATAAACTGGTAAAGGTGTTTCTCTAAATTCTGTAAGCTGCTCAAACAAATCAATCAAACCTTGCCGGTGCCGCAGCTCACTAGGCTAATCCTCCGCCTGTGGCACCGGCAGGTTTCTTTTCCCAGTTGGGGCACCGGATTCTGTCCCGGTTGCTCCTCTTCCAGTCCAGCTCTCTGCTGTGGCTCAGGAAGGCAGTGGAGGATGGCTCAGGTCCTTGGGCCCTGCACCTGCATGGGAGACCAGGAGGAAGTGCCTGGCTCCTGGCTTCGGATCGGCGCAGCGCACCAGCCGTGGCGGCCATTTGGGGGGTGAACCAATGGAAGGAAGACCTTTCTCTCTGTCTCTCTCTGCCTGTCAAAAAAAAAAAAAAAAAAAAAAAAAATCAATCAAACCTGAAGAAGGAGTTGTAAGAACCCTAATTTGTACCAGATTTGTCTAAGCTTCTGATAAACCATCTGAGGCTTGCCAGGGGCATCTGAAGGTGGAACAGGGGTAGAGGCAGAGTTGAGGACTGAGCCCATACCCTGTGGGATCTGATGCTGTCTCCAAGTGGAGAGTATCAGAGTTGAATTAAACTAAGGAACACCCATGGGCATTATTTGGCACAGTGGTAAAAACGCTGCTTGGAACACCCATGTCCCATACTAGAGTGCTTCTCTCTCTCTCTCTTTTTTTTTTTTTTTTAGATTAATTTATATATTTCAAAGACAGAGAGAGAGAGAGAGAGAGCACGAGAGAGCGCATCCATCTGCTGGTTCACTCCCCAAATGTTTGTCAATGGCTGGGGCTGGACCAGGCCAAAGCCAGGAGCCAGGAGCTTCTTCCTGGTTTCCCACCTGGGTGAAGGGGTCCAAGCCTGTGGGCCATCCTCACTGCTTTTCCAGGAGCTGGGTCATAAGTGGAGAGCCGAGACTTGAACTGGCACACATATGGAATGCCAGCGTTGCAGGTGGAAACTTAACCCACTACACCACAGCGCTAGCCTTCCATTCGCTGCTTTGATTCCAGCTATTACTTCCCATTACCTGGGAGACAGCAGATGACAGCTCAAGTACTTCGGTCCATGGGCATAGGAGAATCAGATGAAGTTCCAAGCTCCTGGCTTTAGACTACCCAGCTCCATGTGTCCCAGGATTGGGGAAGTGAACCAGCAGATTGAAGATCTGTCTGGCCAGCTGGCGCCGTGGCTCACTAGGCTAATCCTCCGCCTTGCGGCGCCGGCACACCGGGTTCTAGTCCTGGTCGGGGCGCCGGATTCTGTCCCGGTTGCCCCTCTTCCAGGCCAGCTCTCTGCTGTGGCCCAGGAGTGCAGTGGAGGATGGCCCAAGTACTTGGGCCCTGCACCCCATGTGAGAGCAGGAGAAGCACCTGGCTCCTGCCATCAGATCAGCATGGTGCGCCGGCCGCAGTGCGCCGGCCACGGCGGCCATTGGAGGGTGAACCAATGGCAAAAGGAAGACCTTTCTCTCTGTCTCTCTCTCTCACTGTCCACTCTGCCTGTCAAAAAAAAAAAAAAAAATCTGTCTGGCTATTTCTCTTTCTCTGCCTTTCAAATAAAATGAAAGTATATATATATATATATATTTTAATCAGGGGATATCCTGCTGGAAATGCACATCTGGATACATCCCTGTGTGTAAGGAAAAAGCCTTACACATCGAGTATCAAAAGTGATCTGTGCTGTAAGAGAATTGTTAAGAGAAACTGAGTCTCATCCTGTTTTGTTTGACACCATAGAAATACCACAGCCACTTAGCAGTACATGTGTGGGGATTTGAGTTCAAGATTTTACATTTGCCTTACAACTTACTGTTGAGGCTAAGTTCCTCATTCCATCTGTAAAGACTGCTCTGTCATCAAGGCTTACACAGTACTTGGAAAATGTCTCTGTCATCTTGTCAATATGCTATTGATTTCTACATCCAAGTAACTGATGAAAACATTTTACCTAATAAAGTCATAGGGGAAACCTCACATCCCAAGAACTTCTCTAGGTTGAGATCCTGAATGCCTCAACTTTGACCCAGACTTTAGTGTTCTTTTGTGTCTTACTCTCCATCAAGTCACAGGAACCTAGTAAGTTTGTCACATGGTCCAAATTTTCCATTGAGGCAACCACCATGCTCAGTTCTAAATATTTAATATTTATCTGGAAGCCTCTTTCAACAGATGAGAGCAGACATTTGGAGTACTAATTCTCAGTAAACAGCACTCAAGGTATCAGAAATGACTGCTGCTCTGGTTAAGTTTACAAAGTGCCCATCCTCCCAAGAGCAAACACACTAAAATATCTTTTTTTTTTTTTTTTTGGACAGGCAGAGTTAGAGAGAGAGAGAGACAGAGAGAAAGGTCTTCCTTTTTCCATTGGTTCACCCCCCAAATGGCCGCCACGGCTGGCGTGTTGCGGACGGCACGCTGCACTGATCTGAAGCCAGGAGCCAGGCACTTCCTCCTGGTCTCCCATGGGGTGCAGGGCCCAAGGACCTGGGTCATCCTCCACTGCACTCCCCGGCCACAGCAGAGAGCTGGACTGGAAGAGGAGCAACCGGGACAGAATCCGGCGCCCCGACCAGGACTAGAACCCAGGGTGCTGGCGCCGCAGGCGGAGGATTAGCCTATTGAGCCACGGCGCCAGCCTAAGATACCTATTAACAACAATGGAAACTATACATGGGCTGACACTGTGGTGTAGCCAATAAAGCCACAGCCTACAGTGCCGGCATCCCATATGGACGCAGGTTCAAAACCTTGCTGCTCTACTTCTGAACCAGCTCCCTGCTGTGGCCTGGGCAGCAGTAGAAAATGGCCCAAGTGCTTGGGTCCTGCACCCACATGAGACCTGGAAGAAGCTTCCTGGCTTCAGATCGGCTCAGCTCCAGCCGTTGCAGCCAACTGGGGGTGAACAAGAGAATGGAAGATCACTCTCTCTCTCTCTCTCTCTCTCTCTCTCTCTCTGCTTCTCCTCCTCTCTCTGTGTAACTCTGACTTTCAAATAAATAAATAAATCTTTAAAAAAAAAAAAAGAAACTACACTTTCACTGGGTTTTTATTTGTTTGTATTTCATGTCTTTTAGATCTGCTTTAATTTCTTCCAATCCCTATCAGTCAAACACTAACTATTTGTTAAGCACCTAACATATGCCAAGCACAGTTTAAGTCCAACAGGTACAGCACTGATCTGCAAAATCCTTCTAGACCCATGCTAATTTGTATACCTGGAACATGATTAGGCACACAGTTTAAAAAAAAAAAAAAAATCATCCAGAAACTGATCCTAGGTTATCTGATTTCAACATCTTATTTCTTAAATTGTTTTACAATATCAATCTTAATATAACTTACACATCAGATTGGTTTTGTTCATACAAAGTCTTCATCTCCTCCAGAACTTGTCTGATTCCATCCTCCTGAAACATATAAACTGATATTGATACACATTCATTTATTTCCTCTACCAAGTCTTGACATTCAACCACAAGGAATGAAGTACCAAAGAACTGATACATGCTGTAAGATGGATCAATCTTGAAAACATTAGGCTAAGTGAAAGACATTAAACACAAAAGGACAACTACTGTAAGAGTCCACTTATCTGAAATAATCTAGCACTAGCAAATTCACAGGGATAGCAATAGATTACAAGTTACCAGAAGCAGTGAGGAATGAGGATTATGGCTTAACAGTAGCAGAGTTTCTGTCTGGTGTGATGAAAAAGTTTTGGAAATAGATGGTGACAATGGTTAGACAGCAATGTTACTGTAACAAATGCCACTAAGGTATACAACCAAAAACAGTTAAAATAGAAAACTTTGTATTATGTACATTTTGCCACAGTAAAAAGGAAAGAAAAAGCACAATAAAAAAGAATGAACTTTTAACAGCACAGATAACATTAAGGGTAACCTCAAACACATTATACCAAGCAAAAGAAGCCAGACACACACAGTACATGCTATATAATTCCATCTGGCCCTTTACTGAAGAAAAAGTCTGCCAACTCCTGGCACATGTAAATCCAATAACATAAAATAGACAAATGTAAACTGCAGCCTTAGAAAGCAAATGTGTGGTTGCTTAAGGCTGCAGGTGGAAGGGAAATAAAACAGATCCTGTGTTACAGAAATCTTGATTAGGCTGCTGGTTGTAAACATGTATAAATTTGCCAAAATTTGAAAGTCTATCAAAATGTACATTTTGTTGTACATAAACTATGCCTCAATAAAATTTATAACAAAAAAATGAGTCCTAAAGAAGGAATAAGATTTAACAAGAGTATATAAACTTTTTAAAAAATATTTATTTATTTATTTATTTGAAAGTCAGAGTTAGGGAGACAGGAGAGAGATTTTCTATCCACTGGTTCATTCCCCAAATGGCCAAAATGGCTGCAGCTGGGCCAATCAGGAACCAGGAGCTTCATCTGGGTATCGCATGTGGGTTTAGTGGCCCAAGGACTTGGGCCACCCTCCACTTCTTTCCCAGGCATTAGCAGGGAGCTGGACTGGAAGTGAAGCAGCTGGGACTCGAACAGGCACCCATAGGGGATGACAGCGCTGCAGACGGTAGCTTAACCTGCTGAGCCACAGCACCAGCTCCAACAATTTTTTATTTATAGAAAACCTGTCTTAAAACGTTAATGTCAAAACCAAATAGTGTTTTTTATTTGTATTACAAAAATAAAAAGGCCAAAGGAGTTTTCTTGTTATCCACTCTGAGCAAATTTAAAATTTTCCCTTGAAGAGGTAGACATTTACTTGCTTGGAGATTAATACATCAGCCAGGACACCTGTATTTCATGTTGGCATGCCTGAGCTCAAATCCTGGCTCCAGATTCCCGCTAATGCAGACTCTGGGAGGCAGCAGCGATGGCTCAAGTAATTGGGCTCCTGCCACCCATGTGAGAGAGCCAATTGGAGAGGGCCAGCAGATGGGAACTAAGAAATAAATACATTTTTAGATTTAAAAATTTTTTTCTCTTGGAAAGATAAAACAGCATTCTGAAGTTCATAAATGGCACAAATTAGGTCTGTCGGCAATCCAAAAAGAAGATCCCAACTACTTTTCCCAATCTTTTTAGTCTCAAAATATGTACATTAGCAAAAATGCTTTGGAATACTCCCAGCACAATTATAAAATCAACTACCTAACCCTGGTCAAAAGATATAATCCTTGATGAAAATCGTAAGCATGACACCTCCCTTCTTTAACATCTGGTTAAAAAAAGCACTGCAGAAAGGTCTGAATCACTAGAATTACTGAATTACTAGAATTAAATGTTCTTTTTATCAGCAAATACTACTTTAAGGAGTGGTTGAAACTCTTGTAACCTGGGGCCAGCGCTGTGGCTCAGCGGGTTAACGCCCTGTCCTGCAGTGCCAGCATCCCATATAGACACCGGTTCAAGACCTGGCTGCTCCTCTTCCAGTCCAGCTCTCTGCTGTGGCCTGGGAAAGCAGTAGAGGATGGCCCAAATCCTTGGGCCCCTGCACCCATGTGGGAGACCCAGAAGAAGCTCCTGGCTCCTGGCTTCGGATCGGCGCAGCTCTGGCCATTGCGGCCAATTAGGGAGTGAACCAGCAAAAGGAAGACATCTCTCCTTCCCTCCGTCTCTTTCTCTCTCTCTCTCTGTAACTCTTTCAAATAAATAAAATAAATCTTAAAAAAAAAAAAAAGAAATCCTGTAACCTAATACTGTAACTTAATATCTGGATGTATAATAAAAAGGCAAGGTGAACCAACTCTGTAAAATATACACACTAAGTTTTCAGGCTTAGATTTTTATCTACTGTGGAAACTCTGTTCTGTGTCCCTAACTCAGAACGTAAGCCCCTGAGAATCCAAGTAATTTTCTTAAAAACAGCATTTTAAGAAAAAATGGACAGTTCTGCATTTGGCATGGGAGTAATCATTCTTCACTTTGCTGAACGTAGCACCTAATCACACACGAATCTGGAATGAACAAAGCAGAGCCCCAGCTCCAAAACCCTGACTATCACCTCTCCAGGAGAGATGATTCCCAAAAGTTCGTCCAGGCCTAGCCTCTCAGACCAGCTATGCCAGGGGCCAGCCTCTTCTGCAGGCTGCTGAGCCACCTATCCAGCAGGGGGGTTTGTCAGTGAAAAGCATTAATGGAACAAAAGGTGCAAAAGGTATCCCTCCAAACTAAAACCTCAAAGAGAATGATTCTACAACTTTCAAGATGCCAGATGCTCAAAGCAGGAAACCAATACTTAATATCTGATTGAAGGGATGGGCATTTGGCATAAGAGTTAATAAGTAAATGGGTTCAAGTCCCATCTGCATCTGATTCTAGCTTCCTGTTATTGAGCACCCTGGCAGGCAGCAACAGATGGTTCAAGAACTTGAGTCCCTGCTACCTGTGTAGGAGACCCAACTGAATTTCTGGCTCTTGGCTTTGCCTGGGCTCAGCCCTGGCTGTTTCAGGCATTTGGAGAGTTAACCAGTGAATGGCACATCTAAGTAAAAATAATCTTTTCTTAAGATTTATTCATTTTTTTGAAAGGCAGAGTTACAGAAAGAGAGAGAGAGAGAGATCTTCCATTCATTGGTTCACTCCCCAAACGGCCGAAACAGCTGAAAACAGAAGCCAGGAGCTTCTTCCAAGTCTCCCATATGGATGCAGAGGCCCAAGCACCTGGGCCATCTTCCACTGGTTCCCCGGGCACATCAGCAGGGAGCGGGATAGGACGTGGAGCAGCCAGGACTTGAACCAGTGACCATATGGGATGCTGGCATCACAGGTGGTGGCTTAACCCACTGTATCACAATGCTGGTCTCAATAATTTTTTTAACAAAATTAGAATAAAAGAGCTAAACTAAAGGTCTGAAGAGCCTGGTTCTGAGGACAGCCCGGCCCGCAGCTGTCTGGCCACGTCACTCTGCCTCTTTGGCCCATCTCCTTATTTGTCTGATGGCCTATAGAGTTCCTGGCTCTCCAGGCCCAGCAGGGAGCCATATTTTAGAGTATCTACAGCCTTGCATCCCAGCATCCCTACTGAGCTTCTTACTGCAGTCTCTAACTTCTGAGATAATTGTTCTGAAACTCAAAGAGCTACAGCCCGGAATCCAGGAAACCTGTATTCAAGTTAAGGTTCTGCTTCCATTGTACTGTAAATTCAGACAAGTCCCTTAACCTGACCTGTAATTTCTCTTGGCTCAGTTTCTTTGCGTGTACAATGATCTCATTGTCAAGCTACAAGCCTGACAAAACTCATCACACACTCTGTTGTTTACTCAGTAATCTGAGAATCCTCCGGAGATCCCGACTCCTCCCTCTCATTCATTATCTACCCCATCTCTACCCCTCTTCTAGTAGTTACTAGTCCTGTTTGTCTCAGGTCTCAGAAACCCAGACACTGAAGTCAGTGCCACTGACCTGACACAGTTCAGACCACACACCTCTCACCTGGTCTATTACTGCCACCCACAAACCAGGTCCTGGGCTCCATGCCTTCTCCTTTTCAGTCCATTCCCCATACTGCTGCCAGTTATACTGAAAACACAAAGCTTTCTGTACCATTCCTGCTGTGGTTTGAGTATCTGTCCCTCCAAACTTATAAAGGGATCAGTCCCCAGTTTTCTGTCAGTGCAGCTACAAGGGTGGAAATTTAATCCAATGACAGTGTTTACAGATGTGATATTGGTCTGGCATTGTGGCGTAGTGGGTAAAGCAGCTAGCTGCCTGTAACGCCAGCATCCCATAGGGTGCCGGTTCAAATTCTGAGTACTCCACTCCCAACCCAGCTCCCTGCTAATGTGCCTGGGAAAGCGGCAGATAGCCCAAGTTCTTGGGCCCCTGCCAGCCACATGGGAGACCCAGAAGAAGCCCCTGGTCCCAGCTGTTGCAGCCATTTGGGGAGAAAGCCAATGAATGGAAAATCTGTCTCTCTACAATCTCTACCTTTCAAATAAATAAATCTTTTAAAAAAATAAATAAATAAAGGTGGGATCCTTGGGAAGTGAGGAGATCAAACTAGGTCTTTAGAATTGAGCCCCCATGACTGAATCTTGGTGATTTTACTTTGATTTTTTTAATTTGAAACAGTTACAGAGAGGAGGACAGATAGTAAGCTGGAGAGATCTTCCATTCACCGGTTCACTCCCCAAATGGCTATAACAGCCGAAGCTGGGCCAGGCAGAAGCCAGGAGCTTCTTCCAAGTCTCCCACGCAGGTGCAGGGGCCCAAGCACTTGGGCCATCTCCCATTGCTTTCCCAGGCCAGCTCCGGCCGTTGCGGCCATCTGGGTTGTGAACCAGTGGATGGATGACCTCTCTGTCTCTACCTCTGTAACTCTTCGAATAAATAAAATCTTTTTAAAAAAATATCGTACAGGCTGGCTCAGCTCTTACTGAACGCCAGGCATCTCTCCGAGCCCCTTACCAACTTCTGCACGTCAGAAAACTCAGCACAGGAAGCGGAATACCTGCCCCAGTCACACCACAGCCTGCATCCCAGGCTGCTCCCAGAGACCCAGCTCAATGGCCACATTTCCACCAGGCAACCGGAACAACCAGTCTGCTTAAGCCACGGAGCAGCAACAACGCTCTATGCCGAAAAACCCTAGAACACTGTCAACAGAGAAATTCGCCACAGTCGCTGCAGGGCAGGAGTACGAAAGCGTTCCTTTCCCCGCCCGTGTCTCCTGGGACCCTGTACCCCAACTCCTGCAGCTGACTCGCAGCAGACACTGGGCAAAGTAAGCCGCCCACGCCCCCAGCCCGGCCTCTCCACGCGCCGCATCCCATCCCCTGCGCTCCCTCACGTTGAAGGCGGGCAGCTGCCCTTCGGGAGCACGGTGCAGTTCGCGGACCAACTCCATGGCCTTTTCGCAGAACATGGCGGATACACACACACACACCCCGGCCTCAGCGACCGGATCAACCGCCGGCTCCCAAGCCTAACGATCACCGGGACCCTCAGCTGCAGTACCACTACGAGAGCGCCAGCTCCTGGCCTCCGCCTCCGCGTTTCGCTTTGGCGCCAAAAGCGCAGCCAATGGGAACCCGCCGTCAGGTCTCCGGGACTACGGCGGCCGACAAGGAACATTCGTCTCTGCGGCGCAGCCGCGCTACAAGAAGGGCGGAGGGGTGGGGTGGAGCTGTGTCCCTTCCCCAAGGACGCTCCGGGGTCTGAGTGGACGGTTGTCCACGGTGGGTCTGAGCCCCTCGGTTAAGCAGGGCCGTTCCCTAGTTCCTCGGACGGCTGGCCGGCGTCCGGGCACCGCGCGGCTCGGGATACCCCCAGGCTCCGCAACTTCCTTTGAACCGTTTCCGTTTCATTCATTCATTCCTTGTCCTCTGGGTTCCCAGGGACGCTTCGCTGAGGTGAAGAGAGCCGGCTGACGTACGTGGTGTGCATTTTTTGTTTTTTGCATTGATATTTGTGACGCAGCGTTTCGTGGTTTCGCACTGCGAGTTTGCTTTGCTTTTTTTTTTTTTTATTAAAGCGAAACGGTCTTTGTTGTGACATGTATTTCGTCTGATTCTCCATATTATCCGCAAAGGTGGTTACTGAGACTCATTACCAATATGGAAACCTGCCGCAAGTCCCCCAGCCCCTAAGCTTTCGGTTTTCAGCTCTGCGGTGTCACTTTGATTTTTAAAGCAGTCAAAATCTTCAAATAATAAATAAAGCTTTGTCAGTGTTTCCAGATGAACAGAATTCGTAGCTTTTGAACTCGTATGAGGAACACTTCTCCAAACGAGTTCATGGTCGGGAATCACCACTAATAGAAATTTCATCTTCTGCTAGCTTTTTTTTTTTTTTTTTTTTTTTTTTTTTGACAGGCAGAGTGGACAGTGAGAGAGAGAGACAGAGAGAAAGGTCTTCCTTTGCCGTTGGTTCACCCTCCAATGGCCGCCGCGGCCGGCGCGCTGCGGCCGACGCACCGCGCTGATCCGATGGCAGGAGCCAGGAGCCAGGTGCTTTTCCTGGTCTCCCATGGGGTGCAGGGCCCAAGCACCTGGGCTTCTGCTAGCTTTTGAACAGGAATGTTTCAGAAAAACGAAATTGGATTCCTTTAGGGTAATCTTAGAAAAAACATTGCTCTTTTGCCAGTAGAGATAAAGGAGATAACGTGAGCCGAGAAATGGGCATGGGGATAGTCTAACTTAAAAACAGGCCTCTGAGTTCTTCCCTTATGTTGAGGAACCACAGTAAACAATAAGTATTTTAATTTTTTTAAAAAAAGTTTTTAATTTATTTACTTGAGAGGTAGAGTTACAGAGAGAGGTAGAGACAGAGAAAGAGGTCTTCCATCCACTGGTTCACTCCCCAAATGGCCGAAATGGCTGGAGCTGAGCTGGTCTGAAGCCAGGAGCCAGGAGCTTCATCTGGTCTCCCAGGTGGGTGCAGAGTCTCCCAAGCACTTGGGCCATCTTCTACTGTTTTTCCAGGCCATCCAGAGAGCTGGATTGGAAGTGGAACAGCCAAGACTCGAACCTGAACCAATATGGGATGCCAGCACCATAGACAGAGGCTTAGCCCACTACACCACAGTGTCGGCCCCTAATTTTATTTTTAATTTATTCATTTGAGAGAGACAAACTCCTATCTAGTTTCACTCCCCAAATGTCTATAATGGCTGGGGCTGTGCCAGGCTGGAACCAGGACCAGGGATTGAACCCATCTACTGTAATATGGGATGTGGGCCTCCCAACAGCTAAACTCTTGAGTGTTTTTGTTTTGTTGAGCGGTTTTTGTTTTGTTCTGTTTTATCAAATACACCATTCTACAGTGAGCCAGGCTGCAGGAGTGTGATCCACAACCTTCCTTGGCCATACACCATTTTGATTTCAGCTAGGAGGCAAAGTCCCTTACCAACCGTGAGGCTTACTTCCTTGCCTGGAAAGTGCACACCCCTGAGCAGTTGGGATGATTCAGTCACTCCTTCAGCAAAAAGGAAGTGCTACTATGAGCCAGCATTGGTCTACACAAGATAAGGCAGGCAGTCTATGTCCACCCAAGGAAAACAGCAATTCACAGATATATGGATGACAGACTGGGGATAGGCACTATCAAGAATAATAAAGATGAACAGAGTGGAGGTCAGGTGGCCTGAGGGTTTTGAGTTCTAGTCTTCAGAGAAGGCACAGAGCTGAAGAGGGCAGGAAATTAGCCTTTTGGGTCTGGGACAGTAGGAATCAAAGTTCAGACGTCCCAAGGAGGGGTGTGAGTGGCAGCCGAAGACCAGCAGGTAGCAGTACTGCTGGGGTGATGGAGGGAGAGATGCAGCTGCCTGAGACCAGAGGGGGCCCAGAGGCCCTATCAGGTAGTCTCCTATAAACCCTGCATAAGCTTTCAGTTGTGAGATGGAGAACCACTGAAGTGTTCTGAGCAAACAAGTGACAGAACCAGACCTTGTTGGCTTTTCTTTTCTTTTCTTTTTTTTTTTAATCTATGACCACTAATAAAATAACCCAGGTGAGAGAAGACAGTAGCTTGGCCCAGGATGGAGATGGTGGAGGTAGAAAGAAGTGGTTGGATCCTGGAGAGCTCAAAGGCTTCATTATAGACATGTTGTGCATAAGAACAGAGCAATCAAGGCCGGCCCCAGGGTTTTGACCAAACGCACAGGTAGAACTGCCACCACTTGGAATGCTGGCATCATACTGGAGCACCAGTGTGAGTCTTGGCCACTCCACACTTCTCCTCTAGTTTACTGCTAAGGCAGCAGGGAGGCGGCAGATGATGGCCCAAGTACCTGGGTTCCTCTTATCCTCCTGGAGAATGGCTTTACGTTTGTCCAGCCCTAGCTGTTTGGAGCATCCGAAGAGTAACCCAACGGATGGAAGATCGCCCTCTCTCTCTGCCACTGCCTTTCAAGTAAATAATGTTAGAATAGAGGAGGCTGCTTGAGATTCAAGGAGGATGTATGGCCTCAAGTTACAGATGCAGCCGGCACCGCGGCTCAATAGGCTAATCCTCTGCCTCGCGGCGCCGGCACACCGGGTTCTAGTCCCGGTTGGGGTGCCAGATTCTGTCCAGGTTGCTCCTCTTCCAGGTCAGCTCTCTGCTGTGGCCAGGGAGTGCAGTGGAGGATGGCCCAAGTCCTTGGGCCCTGCACCCCATGGGAGACCAGAAGAAGCACCTGGCTCCTGCCTTCGGATCAGCGCGGTGCATCGGCCGCAGCACGCCGGCTGTGGCGGCCATTGGAGGGTGAACCAATGGAAAAGGAAGATTTTTCTCTTTGTTTCTCTCTCTCACTGTCCACTCTGCCTGTCAAAAAAAAAAAAAAAAAAAGTTACAGATCCAGGCATCACCACTGTGGCAGTTTAAAGCACAGATGACTTCACTGAGGACCATGTGGGCAAGGTAGACAGTGAGATTCAATACCCCTACATTTCTTTCTTCTTTCCAGCACTCCCTTTCTTGTTTTCCTTTTACAAGGATTTTGTGACTGATAGAGACCATTTTTTTTGTACAGTTCATTTCTGAATTTCCAAATTTCCACTATTGTACGTGCAACTACAGTAAAGAATTCACCACTTAGGGGCCGGCACTGTGGCGCAAGTTAATCATCCGCCTGCGTGTGGGGATTCCATATGGATGTGGCCCTTGGGGCCATTTGGGGAGTGAACCAACGGATGGAAGGCCCTTGGGGCCATTTGGGGAGTGAACCAACGGATGGAAGACCTTTCTCTCTGCCTTTCCCTCTCGCTGTCTGTAACTCTACCTCTCAAATAAATAAAATATTAAAAAAAATAATTAGAGCCGGCGCCGTGGCTCAATAGGCTAATTCTTCCCCCTTGCGGGGGCCGGCACACCGGGGTTCTAGTCCCGGTTGGGGCGCCGGATTCTGTCCCGGTTGCCCCTCTTCCAGGCCAGCTCTCTGCTATGGCCAGGGAGTGCAGTGGAGGATGGCCCAGGTGCTTGGGCCCTGCACCCCATGGGAGACCAGGAAAAAGCACCTGGCTCCTGGCTCCTGCCAGGATCAGCGCGGTGCGCCGGCTGCAGCGGCGGCCATTGGAGGGTGAACCAACGGCAAAAAAGGAAGACCTTTCTCTCTATGTCTCTCTCTCTCACTGTCCACTCTGCCTGTCAAAAAAAAAAAATAAATAAATAAATAAATAAATAAAAAAAATAATTAACCACTGAAATTCCTTTGTATTTTTAAGTGTACTTGGAGAAATCCACACAAATTTGAATGTGAGTTGTGATACCTAGTAACAAATAAAGTCTTTTGCAATTTCAAAGTATCTTTACAAAGCTAAGGAGCTACTGAACTTCTAAAGGCATTTCCAATTTATCTTTGTCAGTTGCCAAGAGTTTGCAAACTGACACAAATGTTTACATTACAGAAGTTAACCTTGGAATAAATAAGCAAATAATCTCTCTGTTGTAGATCATTTGTAAAATTAATACCATAGTAAAGAAAACCAAAGCTGTGAATCTAAATTTGTGAAACGGTCCTTTATTCTTTCCTTTTACCTTTTCAGGATGAGTTGAGTTAGTACTTAATTTGGGTTCCACAACGACCAATGTTTCTTTAAAACGGATTTCCTGCCATCAGATAGTTTTATTTGCTTTATAAAAATCTAACCTGTCATACAGATTTCTAACGAGTAAACAGTTAATTTTTCACTTAGTCTCAAAGCAAACATAAAATAGTTGTTTCCTATTAAAAGTTAATTACCTGAATGCCTTTTTTTTTTTTTTTTTTTTTTTACAGAGAAAGCCTCCTGGATAAGTAGTTGCAAGTCTAAAGAACGTAACTGTGGCTTGCTCCTTGTTCTTTTGCTCTTATATTCCTTTATGACACTTCCAGGTGAGGAGAGGAACCTTTGCCTTGCGTCGTGGTCGGACTACGGACACAGGCAACGGTCCTGGGCGCCCAAGCGAAGCCGTTCCCCAGGCCTGAGGGAGCCTGGCGCCCTGGCCACCGGGACTCGAAAGCTCAGCCTTGCCCTGCTGATGACGCGAGGCTGCGGCTTCGGCCGCCCTCTTCCAAGATGGCTGCGGGCCGGCGCCCGGGACGCTGGGCCGGCGGCACCGGGGGCGGGGCCTGGCCGAAGCTGGCGGGGCCCGGCGCTGATTGGCCAGCGCGGCAGACCCGGCCCGCCGCTGATCCGTAGCCGGCGCCACGGCCTGGGGCTGGGATGTGAGGGGCGGCAGGCTCCGGGCTCCCCGGCGGCGGCGGCGGCTGTGAGCAGCAGGGGCTGCTGCGAGGCCGGCGTAGGCGGGCGGGCGAGGCCAGCGGGCGCCGTGGGCGGCCG